AAAGATAATCTTAGGTGGGAGGTATATGTTAGAATTTATTTCTGTATTTGGCATAATGGTTGGAACAGTAATAAACTATTTAAAAGCTAGATTATGGCAAGATAGAATAAGCAGCATGGTTCTAAAAGAGAAAGTTGTTCCTCTTTAAGGGTACGTCTATACTGTGGTGCTATTTCGGAATACTTCCTGTATCCTGAAATAGCTATTCCATGTCTTGACTGCATGCATATTATTTCAAAATATCTTTCAAAATAATGGGTATGCTATTCCAACATCCCTGTAAGCCTCATTCCACAAGAATTAAGGGACATTTCAGAATAGTTTATTTCAAAATTTCAATTACGAAATACACTCAAAAAAAGCTACACAATTTGCATAGTTCAAATTGCATATCTTATTTCAAGCTAAGGCTGCAGTGTAGACACACCCTAAGAGTTCTTTCAGCACCTCAATAAACTAGATATTTAGAAATTCAGACAGCATTTAATAAACTCTCTCATGAGGTTATTGATCGAAGTATTTTGTGGAGGAGGGGGATGAGACAAAGAACTCACATGGATAAGAAACTGGTTGACAGAAGAGAGAGGGAATGTCAATTATTGTTTTCCCCTTGATTGAATTTTCATACATTTCTGTATGATATTTAAGCTATATAATTAACAATCCAGAAAAAAAGGGAGCAAACAGAAGAGCAGAAAGGTTTGCAGATAAGTTAGGTGAGTCAAGACCATGCTCCTCTGGAGTGGCCCTACTAAAGGAAAGAATGGAAAACATTGCCCATGAAATTCACCAGAGACAAATTTAATGTTCAATGGAAGGAATAATATAAACTACATATATTCCTTAATAAGTTCTACACTAACATGCTAGAAAAATATTCTAGTCATATGGATAGCATCTCTGCAAAAATACCAGCATGGGACAAAAAAGGAAACAATGGATGATCAAAAAAATAGGCTGGAGAACACTAAAAATAGGCTATGAATAAATAAAAAAATATGCTGGAGAACACTAAAAATAGGCTATGAATAAATGAATGGTATTCCATTACATGAAATGCTATATTAAATTATGATTACCTTAGAAAAAAAACGAGAAGAAATTGGAGTTCAGAAGACAAGCATGAAATAGCTTCCCTATGCAGAGTGATTGCCATTCAAGGGCAATAAGAGGGTATGTGGTAAAAGGTGCACAAAAATGAACGATACACAGAAAACAGATTGAGCACTTTCATGTACTGTTTTCATATAACGTGTTGAATAAGAGACTGAACATTTTAACAGAACAAAATATTCATATAATGCAAGAGTTAATCTGTGAAACCCTTTTCTAAAATATACCTCTGAAGTCAAGAGCTTAGCAGGATTTTTTTAAATGTTTAAACATGTATATGGATAATGAGAACATAAGTGTTACAACAGATAAACCTAAAAGAAAATAAACCAACAAAAATACACCGGGTGAGCCAATCCCTCAAACTTCAAGATATCCACAAGTCTTAGTGATTTTCCCTGTAAGTAGGTTTTTTTTCTTACCAACTTACTGCCAGATTTATTCTGAAAGATCTGATATTAGCTACTATAAAATACATTACTTGACTAACTAGACCACAAGCCTGATCTAAAAGATTGATGTTAAAGGAATACTCAGGACTTGGATCTTTAAAGAAAGGGATGGGGAGTGTCTTTACAGCATAGTGGATTTGTCAGATATAAGAGGAGGTGGAGCTAAATTAGGAGGAAAGGAGAGACCAACATTAGCAAGGTAAGAAAAAAGTTAAACAAAATTTTTAGTGAGGTGGAGTAAGATATGGATGTCACTGAGGACAAAGGGCTGAAAGTAAGGAGAGAGTGATCAAAAGTACAAGTGAAAAAAGTGCCCCCTTGGACTAAGAAGGGTGCTGGGGAAGTTATTTACTTGGTAAGAGTACTTGTGGTTTGTAAGAGCAGACTCAAAGGAGGGGAAAGATGGCATTAGTGGGGCAGGACAAATTACAAGGTTTTTTCCCAAGCTGCTGGGAACAAGCAGTTTAAGAGAAGCCATCTGGAATCTTAGTTAAGATTAGGGTCTCATGGTTTGCCCTTGCTTCCTTCCTTGAATAGGTAGCTTAGTGAAGGAAAATGCAGGACAATGTAGCACTTTAAAGACAAACAAGATGGTTTATTAGATGATGAGCTTTCGTGGGCCAGACCCACTTCCTCAGATCAAATAATGGAAGAAAACAGTCACAACCATATATACCAAAGGCTTCATATGGTTGATGGATTTCCAAGGAGCTGTTAAGTTTCAAGAGACCGTGCAGAGACAATTCCCTTCAGTATGTTTAGAAGAAGTCATCGTGCCCAGTACCAAGGTAGCTGGTATTCTGGGGATTCACTGGCAGAATCTGTGCATGGTCATCAATTAAGACCATACAAAAGCCTTACAGGGTTTGAAGCTGGTTAACTAGCTGGGTGCTAAGCTGTTTGATATGTTTTCTCCAAGAGCAGTATGTATTTGCATCAAGAGGGTTAGCTCTTACAGTTACAGAAACAAGTACAGTACTGATTACGTCCCATTTGTTTTTAAGAGTGTAGGTTACAAAAAGTGTTTACTGCATTTACATAAGCTTGAGGCAGTTAGGGCAAAGAATGTTTAAATAGCATCCCTAAGAGTAAAAAGAAGTTGCCATGGCATGTGCTAGATTAGTGCAGTCAATAATAGTTTCTCTTAGGTAACATAGTCCCCCCTCTGACATACAAGGCTTAAAAAAAGTAATTATGAAGACTATTAGAGCTTTTGCTATGACTTAAGTTCTGTAAGTGGTTAAACCAGTTTAGTGTTCTAAACAGTCATCTTTACCACAAAAGGACTAACATCAGTACAATAATGTTGTTCTACAAGTTCACACACACACACACACACACAGTCAGTGCACTAAGCTACACAATGAAATATATTACTTCAGAAATGTCTGATGAAAAAAGTTGCACGAGTCTGATTTTATTTGGTTGGAATAAATTTATTTTGTCTGTAAACAAGGTGTTTAATAGTTATGGCATTTTTTGAAATGCATATTAAATCAGATGAGTTAGACTGTATCCCAGATGTAAAAGTGCAGGGAAAGAAATGGACAAATCAGCAACAAGAATTTGTTTAAATCTGTACATTATCCACAAGGCCCAAATAATAGAAGCAAATACTAGAATGTCCCTAAAGTAGTGCCATTCAAAAGAAATCCTTATAGTCAGTTAAAATCCATCTCACAATAGCAACAGTTCATTTTTTTAAACAATAGTATGGCACAGAATACATATTAAAAAATTCATCACAAGAAAGCCAAGTCAGTTATTCCAACCAATACCATCTCCCATTTATTCGTTTGTATACAGAGTTCTGCAGTTCTGTTTAAATGGACATACAAGTTAGTACCGTGCTTGAACGGACAGTTTGGTTACACATTTTAGATGACTAGTGCACGAGGCAGTTTACTCCACAATTTCCGCAGCCAGGGTGAGGCAGGCCAAATGACTATTTAAATTTGAAATGGTATAATTTTAACAATTTTAAGCTTATGAACTACCACCCTTCACACTAACATTGGTATTAGAGCAGCATGTCTCTTTACATTATCAGTTAAATCAGACAAAGATTGGAGTATCAGCTACCAGTTTATAGCAGAAGGTGATAGTTTTCCATAATGACCCTGTAGTTTCATATAAAACCCCAAGCTGCAAATTAAAAATTGGTCCTATGAAAAACTGAAATCGGACACACTCCAGATGGTTATGTTGGGATATCTAATGTCCATAATGGCAGCCTTTTACAATTCAACTACAGAACTGGAGCTGGCAAAAAAAAAAGTGCCTGAGCTATTGAAATGATGGAATGTCCCTTGGTATTCATTCAGGACAATGATTGTAAGATCATGGAGGAAATGCATCTACATCATTTGATAGTTTTGTAGTTGCACCCATTAAGCAAAGTGTACTTCAGATAACATGAAGAGTTTTGTAAGTCTATGGTGAAGTGCAATGACAAAACTAATCAAACACAATAGATTCTGAGTGGAAAATTGGTTACACAAACCAGGCACTATGTAAAAATAGGTGTAAGCAAACAAAATGTGGATGAAAGAGTGGACAAGGGAGAAGATATGCATGCACTTCTCCCCCCCAACCATGCTCTACAAAAGGAAGACTAAATGAGCTGTGTAACTGCTCAAAGTGCTGAAGAGACATTGATCAAATCAGATTGTACAATCGGCACCTTGTTAAGTATTTAAGTTGTTTTAGTTGTCAATACCATATTAATTGCTAAGACAAAGCAAAGCCTAAACTTGGCATACTCCCCCTCCTAAAATATATTTCAAGGTATCATGCGCATCATTTTTTTGCTGTGAAAATGGTGCCAAAAATGGGACTTGGTTACATACAGTGGCTAACACACAAATGAACACAAGGGTAATTGGAATCATGATATTAGAAAAAAAATGGGTAAATTAAAAACAAAACAAAACATAGAACAACTACCATCTACAGCCTGGTAGTACTGTGAACACAACTGGGTGGTGATGAAGACAGTTGCTAGGTGGATGGGGAGAGGCTGCTTAGATGTCAGACCTCCTCAGATATAAAGCCAGTTCATATGTTTTCTTGTTCAGTGTCCCTCCATAGACACCTTCCTTTCCCATGACTATAACCAATGCTGGAGTACACAATGAAACAAAACAGAAATGAACAGAATTAAAGAAAAAAAAACACCTTTCCCCACCAACAAAGGGATACAAAGGAGACACAGGTTCATACCCCATCACCCTGCATTGCTAATAAAGTTTCCAGAACGTAAGGTTTAAAGCCCACTGCCAGGAAAGTTTAATAGCAATTTTTCCCTAATACTTAACAGTCTGCCTAGCAACTAGAACCCAGAGTCTCTCAAATATTTTGCCATTGAGTATGCCTTCTTATTCAATCCGCCTCCATGGACCCCTTCTTTGCCCATTACAAAGACCAAGACTGAAAGAGAAAAGAAAAAAAAAAGAGGTTTTAGAGGAGTGGGTTAGACAAGAAAATAATGCAAGTTTTAATTAGATACTGCAATAAGTACACAAATTCAAGTTTTACCATTGGGATATTAAGCTGGCTTTACAAATGCTTTCTAAAGCACAGATGTAGAGAAGGTTGGGAGAGAGAAGCCTTCATGATTCCAGAGAGAGCGCGAGCAGTTGTATGCTAGAGGTAAAACTTCGCCAAAAAACTGAAAATATAATGTAATTACTATTTTAAAGATAAAATTTATCACGGTGCATGTTACCATCTGACCTCTCTAACAAGGAAACCCCAGGTATATCTTATAAGGTAGATAAAGTAAAGATGTTAAAAAGGGAAAAGGTAGCAATGTCAGAACACACAAGTGTCCAGTATTTTTAGACCAGAGATTGAGTTCAGAGCGGTAACAGATACATTCCAAATCTACTGCGTATTTTTGTTTGGTAGTTTATTGGTAAAATTTAAGCAACTTTTAAGTAGAAGTTTGTGTTTATGGCAGCATCATACGGGTAATAAACTTAACTCAATTGTAGGTGAAATGTTTAAACTCTCTTTACATAATAGGGCAGTTAGCTTCTGTATAGAATAAAGTAATTCTGAGTTCACTTTAAATCTAGTATCCCTCCTTTCTCTACATTAAGATAAGACTACAAAAGTGACCAAACTACTTTACTGGGAAGGTTTCCTATAGAATTGTAGTTAATAAAACATTACATGCTAACTGCCACCAGATGTCACTAGAACAGAGTACATGTAAACTTGGAAGGATTTGATTTTTATTAGTACATTTTGATTTCACTATCAACAGCCAATGAAAATTATATCCATCAATAAGTTATATTTATGGATAGACAATTAAACAGATATTACTGGAAAATGAATTAGATTTTGATACGAGGATATTTTGTATGTGTTAACATGCTGACAATTTAAGTTACAACACCAATATCTTTGAATCTGTGTCTAACATTAAATAATCCCGTCTTCCCCTATTGTGTGACTCTCCCATAATTTTGCACAACTGAAAATTTAAATCAATTTGCTTTAAGAAAGTGCTTCAAAGTAAACAATGAAATTATAAAGGTAAATCAATTTGCTTTAAGAAAGTACTTCAAAGTAAACAATGAAATTATAAAGATCAAGTTATGCCAGGCATTATAAGCAGTTATCTAGATAGTGATACTATTTCCTTAAAAGGAAAGGAAGAAAATTAATTACAGTCATGGCCCAACCTGCACCAAAATCTTTGCCTATTCCATTTGAAAGCATTGTTAAAATACTTATAACATCAACATAGCCTACATAAAACTACACAATACAGCTGGGTCTTTGTAACTATTTTTTGTTTATACATTGACCTTGGTCCCTAACATATTAAGTCTACAACAGTGATCAAAAAAATGCCAAGAATGTCTTGGATGTCCTCATGTTGCTTGTATCTAGTATTCTGAGAGAAGTTTCTTTTGGAATGGAGTCTTCTTCCAAGTAGGGTGTATTTTATAGAATCTTAGATTTAATGCACAAGTAGACAGACAAACGTTATATAAATAGCCTACAGGTACCTAATTGGACAGACTTTATTCATTGTTTCAGAATCAAGATTTTTGAGGTTGTCAACAGGGAATTGTTAAGAGTTAGTGCAAAACATGTATGATTTAAACTAGGTAGTTCCATACAATCAATTCAAGAATTTGGAGAAGAAGTTTTAAGAGAAGTCACTTGAGAGCAAGTCTACACTTAACAATAACATTCAACATCATTATGACACTGTTTTAGACTCCAAACATTTTAATGGAAACATACCTAGTGCAAATGGCTGGCAGACTGCATTTAATGCAACTGATACATAAGCTACGCTAGCTTGTTAAAGTCTGTAGGCACATGACCATATGATAAAGATAGTTAAGTACCCGTGTTCACTCATTTAGGACTGCTAAATACAAATCTAACCCTGGAAAATAGAGAGACCACAATTAAACACCATGGTTTGTGTGTGTATATTGTGGAGATTTTAAAAAGTCTTTTAATACAGATTAATGTAAAATATTTAGTGACTAGAACCTAGTTTTAAATGTTGCATTTTTGTTGTGCTAGTTTAAAACTTTTAAAAGAGTTATAACTTACCTCGACCAGCTCTGCCTACAGCAACATTGTATGTTGGCTCGCCACCATGACTCTTTGTCCTGATGTCCATTGTGCATTCACTATCAACATACAGGCTATCTCTGATCACAGAGCACTTCTTTGCACCAAGAGTCAGACCATTGGTGAAGAAACCCTCTCGGTCTTTTCCTACAATCATATCTATTTCTACGGGCTGTTAAAAAAGAAATTCAGTGTTACACAGCAAGCTCTCACAACTACTTTTCACAGAAGACACTGGATTTCATGTACTCTAAATGAAGTAGCTTACAGGTTAATTTCCACTCAAAAGGGTCATTCAAGCTTCTCCCAATACAAGACACTTTGGAGTCAAGTGTTTTGTTATTCAGTGATATTTTCTTTAATTTAGTATCATTTTAAGTGAACCCAAGTGTTGTTTTGAGATATTTCATACTTGGATTGCAATATTAATATTATAGATTAATTTATAGATTCCAATAAGTCTTCTTTATGAAAAAGACAATGTGAAGTCATCAGGCATTTTGCTAACCACAGGGGCCATTTATTTTAGTAAGTGAATGAATCACACTTTTGTTACTTGATACCGAAGTACCAAAAAAAGCCTTCAGGACCTTGTCCAGATAACAATGATGTGGGTGTTCTCCAGTCCCATTTTCCTTAACAACTGGTGGGATATTAACACACTCCTCCCAGGTCAGCTGCCACAAGTCTTTAAGACCAAATAATAACTATGTTTCTAATGCAAAATATAGTCAAATTGATGTTGCACAACAATGTTCAGCTTTGCCCTTTTCTAGGCAAGAAATGTTACATAATATCACGCCTAAGTTTTAATGACTCAACAGTAAACTCAGATACTGACAGAGCCATAGCTACAGCAAATGCACAGGACCTACAACACCCCAAAAAGCAGAGGAGGGAAATGCAATGCTAATGTGACCCCTCTGTACGTAGGGAAATTGTGTTGTCTAGGCCCTGCAGAAGCTCAAGGCAGGCTGCATTTAGAAAGGTATCATGCCATATTAATCCCCATGACTTTTGCCCACAAAGTCTGCGTCCCCTTCCATGGGGGAAGTCTCTCTGCAGCCCTGCTTTCAGGACAGAAATGGAAGTGGGGGTGGGGTGAAGGCAAGTCAGGAGCAATGTGCTTCCTAACGGTAAGCAAGCAATAAGAAGAGAGGCGTTGCCCTCCAGAACTGCACAGTCATAGCAGGCCCTGCCTGGCCTTTTCCAATCACACACCAGGACTTTGCCAGGCCACATCCTAGGATGGCACAAAGACACAAGGGGGAGGGATTCAGGCAGCAGCTGGAAATCCTCAGGGCACCACTTGGCTAATCATCTCCAGGTAGGGCAGGGATATAATTGCAGGGTTGGTTTCCTGAGCAGTGGTCTGTATGGCTACTCCCCACTGCCACCACATCCTTGAAAAGGGTATGATGAGGAGGGGGTGCTGCTGAGGCCATGCAATGAGATCACTTAACTGTGGAGGTGGGTGGAGAAAGCTTTTATGCAGTAAGGCTGCCTTTGCATACCAAGGCTGCCAGCAAAGAGGGGCCTAAGGAGAGAAAGGACTGCCAGGCACAGCAGCCACCTAGTGTGTGTATGGGGCAAATCCAACATGACATCACTTAACCAAACCCTCCTCTCCCCACAGAGAAAGCAGTAACCCCACATTTCTTTCCAGAAGCCTACAGGCTGGCTTAGTGGAGGGAAGGTGAATCAGTCTGCTGCTAACTACGCCCAATGGCACAAGGTTATAGTCAAAACACGCTATTCACCACCACCCACCCACAGAGGTATGGCATAAAAAGGAGTCACTCCGTTAAAACAAGCTTTCCCTCCTCCTCAAAGGGATTCCTCGGGTTGCTGAGCAGGGCCCTTCCTTCGGAAGGTGGGAGCCGTGGGTGGGCCGGGGGCTGCGCCGCACGACCAGGGATGATTAATACCTCTGAGGAGGACAGGCGAGGAGGCAAGGACAGAAAGAAGGGAGGGGGGAATCAATGGCAGTGCGCCATCTTGGAGATGAAAAACATGTAGCCAGCGGCGAGGATTCACGAAAGCCTCCTACGCCGGGGACGTAAGACTCGCCGCAGCAGCCGGGCCTGGGCGCAGGCA